ACACAACAGTGCAGCTGACTTTTGAAGAAAAAAGCACCTTTGAGAAAACTACTGGTCTTCTTTTTGGACTCAAAAATAAGACCTGGTCTTATTTTCTTTTTGGACTCTTAAATAAGCACTAGGGCTTATTTGGGGGGGGGATGTCTTATTTTTTTGAGCTGCCCCATGTGCCCTACATTGGCTTACTTCAGGGCCACTCCCAGCCAGGCCATCCCCACCCTGACAACTGCCTCACCTCGCAGTAGCTCTGCAACCCCATCCAGCAAGACCCTGTGTGGCCACTGGCCCACTTCTTCCGGTACTGGCATGGCACCGGAGCAGGAGGCTGAGCAATGCACCAGTGCCATGGGCATGAGGCAAGGTGTGGGGGAGCTGCCCCACGCATCCCACTTCTGCTTACCTCAGGGCCCCTGCAGACAGGCCATCCATGCCCCGACAACTGCCTCGCCTTACGGCTGTAGCACCAGTACATCACTCGGCCTCCTGCTCTGGTGCCGTGCCATTGCCGGAAGAAGTGGGCCAGCAGCCACATAGGGTCTTGCTGGATAGGGCTGTTGGAGCCACTGCCTTGAGGTGAAGCAGTTGTCGGGGCATGGATGGCCTGACTGCGGGGACCCTGAGGTAAGCTGGTGTGCACATGGGGTAGTTCCACCCCTCCTCACCTCACCTCATTTCAGTGGGATCACAAGCAACCAGATGGAATGGGTGGCAGGTGGCTGTGCAGTTCCTTAAGTAGGACTTATTTTTGGGGTAAGGCTTATATTGGGTACACACGCAAAAACATGCTATGGCTTATTTTTGCGATAGGTCTTATTTTCGGGGAAACATGGTATGATCTGGATGACCGAGAATCTTCACCAACATTTGTCTGAAGAACTTTCAATTTTCAGTTTCTTTAACTTTCTTATTTAGGCAACATCAAGTGACTGCTAAAGGGTATATAGATGCTAACGTAGCTATTTATATTTAAAGGCTATTTGGGGTCCCCAAGAGCTTATTTTTGTAGGTTGTACTCAAACCGGTCCAATGCATTTCAATGTCACTTTAGTTGAATCTTTGGTGGCAGCTTTACATCTTGTTTTGACTAGTCAGTGAGGAGGTTCTCTGCACATATTTCTTATGAATGGCTTGTACCAGCAATAAAGCACTTCGTAAGGCAACCTCTCCTGCAGCTTTGTCTGTATTTATTAAGTGACTCAGATGAGACTGAAGAGCATAGAGAAGGCACATGTCCCCTCCTGGCTCCTTTCTGCCTCTTTTCTTCTAAATCTATCTGTCCCCATAAAGCAGCTTGTCTGTGTGGTTTATACATGGTTTAAAAAGGGATCCTAGTTTTCTTCAGGCATAAAGAGACGCAAACCAAAGTCCAGTCTCGCTTAATCTGCTTGATGAAGAAGCAAATGTTTACCACTGACTTAGAAGGCGACTATAGAATGTTATACTTGACTGAAGTCCCAATCTGTTCTTTTGCTGAGGGGACTCTTGGGATTTCTAATGGGACATGGAACACTTCCCTTTTGGTGCACTGACTGAATGCAAGGCAGTTTAGCTGAGAGTGAAAGTAATTATGACCAGTTTATAGCTGTGTGGTGGCCTAAATTAAATGAGTTTGAAACTACAGACATATGGAAGCCATGTGCCTCTGACATACAGATAACAAACCTTAGAAAATGACTAGAGGCCTCATGAGAAATCCAGGAAAGATCCCCAAATCCAAAACATCTTTCGACAACAAACATTTCTCTGACTGCTTAAAGATTTTTGATCCACGTTTATCCACATTTATAATTTGCTCTCGGTTCTTGTAACATTTTTGAATATTAAATCATGTAAATTTATAAAGATCTTGAGTAGAAATTAAACTTCTTTCAGGTTTGGGGGCCTGAAAACAGAAGCATTTGTCTCTAAATAAAGTGTAATCCATTCTTATTTTGCAATACTTTTCGCAAACATGAAGCCCAAATTAGATATATTGTTCTTCAGTTGGGGGCCCTCCATAATACATATTACTTTGTGGGTACACAGGCCTCGGTTCTCTCTTTTCTCTTGTTTAACATCTATGAAGATGCTGGGAGAGATTATTTGACAGTTTAGAATGAGGTATTACCAGTATGTTGATATTACTTAGATTTATATTTCTACCCCCAGACTGTCTTAGTGATGTCATGGTCATGTTGACCCAGTGCCTGGATGGGGAGAAACAGGCTTTGGCTCAACCCAAGCAAAAATAAGTAGCTTTGGATATTTGAAGCTTCTGATGCCAGGGATCTTTCATCTTTGGTTCAGGATGAAGAGGCACTGCTTTAGACAGACTCACTGCACAATCTGGAAGTCCTCCTGGATTCACAGCTCCTGCTTGATGAGCAGGAGGCAGCCATTTTTAGGAAGACCTTTGCAATTGACCTTTGTGGATCAATTGCACCTGTTCCTGAACCAGGTGGGCCTGCTCATAATAACTCATGCTCTTGTGATCTCCTGCCTGGACTGCTATAACACACTATATACTACACTACCCAGGCCACCATATTCTGCCCTAGTTGAACCTGCCAAATGCTCTTCAAGAACATTTGGCAGCTTCAACTAGTGAAGAACATGGAGGGCTGGGTAGTAAATGGAACAAGCTATTTGGCAAATGTGACACCATAAGCTGCATTGACTATAATGTGCTTCTGGGTATAATTAAGTGAGCTGGAAGTTACTTTTAAACATGTTTATGGCTTGGAACAAGGTATCAGCCTCTAAGGTAGACCAGACTAAGAAACCCAAGCCACTTAATCCAGTACTATTTTTCTTATAAGGCTACAGTAACAGAATCTTGCATGTATGAATGAACCACTCCATCCCTTAATGTTCATGGGAACCAGGGAAAGTCTCATCTGAAATGTTTACTTGGGTTAGAGATCCGACTGGACTCAAATTTCTTTTATCTAAGTATTGTCTTGGCTGTACTGTTCACCTATTCCTCAAGGTCATATCTTCTGCCCCTTACATCAGGTTATTTAAATGACCATCTCTCCCTAGTTGTTTCTACCCATTCTCTTTGGTTAGCATGATGGGCATGCTCCAGGTCCCATAAACTAAGTAATGTTGACTGATGGACTCAGAATATATATATATGGTAAAGGTAAAGGTTCACCTCGCACATGTGTGCTAGTTGTTCCTGACTCTAGGGGGCGGTCCTCATCTCTGTTTCAAATCCGAAGAGCCAGCGCTGTCTGAAGACGTCTCTGTGGTCATGTGGCTGGCATGATTAAATGCCAAAGGTGCACGGAATGCTGTTACCTTCCCACCAAAGGTGGTCCCTATTTTTCTACTTGCATTTTTTACGTGCTTTCAAACTGCTAGGTTGGTAGAAGCTGGGACAAGTAATGGGAGCTCACCCTGTTATGCGGCACTAGGGATTCGAACTACTGACCTTTTGATTGACAAGCTCAGCATCTTAGCCACTGAGCCACCATGTCCCTTAGTGTGTGTCTGTGTTTATATGCAGGCAGCCCAAGTTTGAATCCAAGTAAGGGTATGGCTAGCTGATGAGAGCTAAATATCTTGAAATAGATCTATACTAGATCTGCTATGGTCCTTTGGAATATTCTCCCTCTGGAGATCAGGTTAGCTCGGACTTTGCTAGCTTTTTGTAAGGCCCTAAAAACCTGGTTCTGTACTTGGGCCTGTGACTCTTACTGTGTAAAGGAATCTGTTTCCTGGCTATGCAGGTGACTTATGATTTTCTCGGCTATTATGTATTTTAAATTCTGTATATGTACTTCTTTTTTTAAATTTTTAATTGCTGTTTCCTGCCCAAAGTCATTGCTGAGATGGATGGTTATATAAACTGATTTTTTTTAAAAAGTAACAGATTGAATTGAGATAGCAAAATAAATTCAGATGGTGTGGGATCATGGAGATATTCCAGGGCAAATCCCATGGAAAGAAGATGGTTTTGCCTTAGGGCAGAATGTGAGGAATCTCTGGCAAAAGCATCAGAGAAAAGAAAATAATTAGAGCTGTCTTAAGTCCAGGACCTTGAAGTCCAAGGTGATGCCAAATGGGCAATTTGAAAGCAACAAATGATGATGACAGCATTCAACAAATTACACAGTTGCCATGATGATGTTGAGGTTCAACTGGGGTGGGGGGTGAGGGCTGCACACTGCAACATTATTTTTCCCTTTTTAAAATAAATAAAAAAATCTTACACATCACAACAAATGGATGAGTATATCATCATAATCATCTTCTTCATCCCTTAATTGCAGAATATATTTTCTTCAATAAAAGTAACGTTTCATCCCGTATTTTTAATTTATTTGTGTCCAAAGGGAATCCTCCATAAAAGCAGTCTAAAATTACTTTTCTTCACCATAGAGAAAAAGTTTGCGCAAATAACATCTCAAACCTACAAGAAGATAACTTTAGCTGCCATGACTCATCTTCCAGACAATTCTACCTGGATGACTGAAAATCTTCATAGACATATTGCCACACATTTGAGGGAAGAAACCCTGAGGTTGGTGTGGGAATACCCCTAAGAATTTTGGAAGTTGGCACATTCCAACAATTCTCTACCCACTCAGATTCCCTGAATCATCTTGTTCAGACTGAAGAAACTGCTTGGATGGGCAGCAAAATGTCTCAAACCAACAAGTAAATAAGTCCAGTTGTCATGACTCAACTGCCAGAGAAGTTTACCTGGATGACTGAGAATGACTCATGGTTTAACAAGAACCATGAACAGATTCATTGCTAGATATTAAAGAATGATCTGAAATTATGAGAATCAAGATACAGGTGCAGAAACAACTTATTTTCCTCCTCCTTGTATTAATTCTGGGATAGTTTGTTAGATAGCCAATTACTTCGAATAATCTATTAGAATAACACCACATACCATTATAATATCCTGAAGAATATTCCTACCGGTAGTTATGCAGCATCTTTTACAATTAGTAAAGAGGAATTGATCAAAACATACATATTATAGGTAAAGAGTAGCATCTTACCAAAGTTGCAAGAATATAGTGGTATCCTATCCCATTTTTTTCAAGCTTGATTATCTGTAATTAAAAAAATAAAGCACAAAAACAATTTACTGGCAAATTGAGAAATGTCTCTCTAATATTTTTACCCTGTTTGTGGAGGAAATAAGAAACATTTCACCAGGACTGAAGCTTCTTAAAGAGTATAACTCCTACATTTAAATACACATTGTGGTATGCAAACTATCACATGATAGTAACATGCAACAGAGATTGAAAAATAAAAATATTCTCCTCTTCAAATGAAAATGCAAATATGAGATACCTTCAAATAAGTCACAAGCATTAACAATGTGTGCTCTTTGTCTCACAAACCAATTGATTGTGATAATCAGGCAATGTTTATGAACATGCTGCCCAGATGCATATTCACATTTGGCAAAACTAAAGCAAACAAAATACAGAATGAATTGTTCCTTTGCTTTGCTGAAATGCCCGAAGGACAACTTGTTTATTTCATTTTGAGTCTTTTCCCACTTGTACCTAGTGACAGCGAAGCGTGACATGACAACACCATGTTTTTCTGCTGTTGGCTCTGGCATTATCACATCTCAATCCATGAACGAGACAGTCAAAATTTGTTCTTAGCTCTTAAGGGATTAAAAGAGTATTTTCCTCTTTATTCCAAGGTGTGTGTAATCCATGTCACTCATTTCCTTGGTCAGAAATCTGGGGACTGTGATGATCTGAAATATAGACAACAGAAACCGAATAGGAACTGGCAATAGGGACAACAATTTCATGCCAGTATAGATTTCTGCCAACTCAAGTATGGGTGGAGAGCAATCCAATTCAGTAGCTGTGAAAAAGCCCTGAGATTGACCACTGTGAATTCCTGCAGTTACATGGCCTCATAGATACAAGAAATGCAAATTTTTTTAAAAAAGCAAAACTAGAACTATGCACTGAAAGAAATAACTGGGCTGGAATGAAACTTAGGTCACACTGAGACAAGATGCATTGAAATTGAACATATTTTGTAATATAATATGCTGATTTTAATAAAGCCACTGGAAAAGAAGAGATTTTATTTACAAATATTTCTAAGCCATCATTAATGTTAAATGTTCTCAAAAATTTGATTAAATCTGGAACTAACTCAAACGGTGAGAACTTTTTTAATGATCGGAATATCCTCTTTCGACCCTTTGAAATGTAAATTTCAAATTCCAGAAATGTCAGCCACCTTTGTCAAGAATTCTGGAAGTGAAAGTTCACATATTCAGAATGTATCCAGGTTAGGGAAGGTTGGATTAAGCTGGCAATGGTGAACCTTTTGGTCTTGGTGTGTCAAAAAATTTGGAAAATGCCTAACTTGAATTTGCTGGCATATCGCACTACAGACACTTTGAGACAACTCCAGGCACATAAGGTCTTCATTCTTGAAGTAGTCTTGGAGCACTTCTGCAGCGTCTGAAAACTGCAAAATCATGCTCCGTTCTTCTGCAATTCTGGAGGCACTGCAAGCTGCAGAAGAGCACAACTCATTCTCACATGGCCTCCTCGAAAATCATATGAGAATGTGATGTGCTTTCAAAAATAGTTATCAGGTGTTGTGAAATCTGGCCTGTCACTCAAAATGTTATGGCATGTCACCTTTAACATGTGTATCATAGGTTCACCATTAAGTAATTCATCATTCTGCTTTTAACAGAATAAATAATAAGACCTCTGGGAGCTCACATACAATGTACAGGTGTGTCCTGGTAATTTTTAAATTGTTTTTGCAAAAGTATATAATTATGAACTTAGAAATTTCATTCTGGAACCTATAGTTAAATGTATTGAGAAAATGACAAATTGTTCATGAACTTTATGCATTAAAATATGGCAAATCATTTAAAAAAATCTTGACTGTGATTCACTCCATAATTTCTGTCACATACAGTATACTGTACACAGCCACTTTATCAAAGTCTAAACAGCCGGGGTTATTTACACAATGATGAACACAATGGAAATCTTGAGAAGTGTCCTTTATAACCTCTAGTTTATATATCCTACAGAATGGCAAGAAGATACAAATCACTTATCCTAAACATAGAAGTAAACAGAAAGGCACTGTTTCTTCTTCTGCCTCATATGCAACAGGCATTTTCTTTCTAGTATGGTCTACTTGTAGCATTCAGAAATTATATAATTGTTTTCATTATTCTAGAAATACAATGAAAATTCTTGAAACTGAAGTAAGGGTCATTTAAATAAACATTCCTATACAATGGTCAGGGCTACACTTAATGTTATAGGTGTTATATAATGTTGAGAGCACTCCAACTGAAGTTGTGCAAAAGAATGACTGTAGATCGGTACTTTAATATATGATTTTCCTATCTAAGGAACCATTCTCACTTCACTATCATCTGGATATACAGTAAATGCAGATAATTTGTCAATGTAAACCATTTAATGGCTTCCAATACTCCCATATTTCTTGGTCAGTAGTAGATTATTGCCTTAGTGAAATCAATATCATTGCCTTGGTGAATTCTTTCTGTTCCATACATTTCTGATTTACATTGATCAGATGAGTGTTACCTATTTTTGAATGGCAAGATGGAAAGCAGTCGTGAACTATTTATGCCAGTTTCTACTCTCTCTGTTTCTTTTATTAGAATTCCAGCTATAAACAAGAACAGACCCAATGCAAATACAAATTCAATCCCACACTTTCCTCCCTTTTCTTTCTTGGTTTTTCAATTAAATATCAATTCCCCAGGTGAGAACTGGGGAATGTTACACAATGTCATAAAATTCCTCAGCATTACAATTATCACCAAATGGATTAGTTGTTATTGGACACTTGTTTCTACCTTAACTGGCTCACCTGCTTTAGAGTTTTTCAGCTGCAATGCTCTTGAGTACACCTTAAAAGCTGCCTGACTCCTATACTAATATCCTTGTACCTCTATTAGCGTTATCAGAGCAGATACAAATAAGTAAGGCTCCACCACCACCTTTCCTACTATACAGATCTCCTGGGTAGGATAATTAAATAATGACTGAAGCAAATATGTCTGGAAGTGCTGCAGATCAGTCGGTTTTTCCATGAACAGTTTCTTTCTAGGACATGAAGCTTCTTGCATTTCTTCTACTACTACTACTAATAAAAAGCATTCCTGTGTTAACTTCTGGCTTCTGATGGCTTCTTCCCAAAAAGGAAATGAAAGGAGGCATTTCTAAACTTGCGAATCCAATCTTGTGCTTGTATACATGTCTGCTTTTGAGTTGTAGTATTTGCATTAATCAAGAAAAAGGCTCCAAAATGCAGCTGTCAGGAAGTGAAAATTTAGAGGGCTGGAGCACATGAGAAAGTTCTTCATTTAGACTCTCACTGTGTAACATTCATTCATTCATTCATTCATTCATTCATTCATTCATTCATTCATTCAGCTTTATAATTAATAAAAATGAGCAAAAAAGCAAAACCTAATAATAGTGATGGTGATACATTGCCAAGAAGGAGGGCAGCAGCAGGAGGAGGGGGAGGATAAGAAGAAACACATAAGTATTTTAACAAAAAGTGAAATAAGTATGACAAAGAAAAATATGATAAAAAAACCCCATTCCTATAGTATACTGGTCTAAGGCAAATATTTTTCAAGTATGTACTGTATACAGTATATTCTAATGCATTTATATATTATTTTCATAGTCTTCCACAGAGACAGAAAGCAAACTTCTTCATTAGAGTTGTGAAAGACAAGGCCTACCCCTTTGCTTTTCACTATTGCATTTCAGCAGTACAGTCTATATGAACAACTCTGAATCCTTTGTGACTGCCCTACTGAATGCCTCTAAATGAAAGAGCTGTTCCCCAGCCATTTGTGATTCACAGCTCAGGTTTCAGATGTAATGCAACAAGTGAATATGAATAAACAGATGGGAGGAGCCCAGGGGAAAAGTGTGATTAATTTGATCAACACTCTAACGCCAGAGTTACAGCATAGCAGCTGTTTTGTCATGGACAGTATTTAATATCTCAGAGCTGGCCTACAATCTCTACAGGGGTTTTCAAAACACTTCCATTTATTTCTGCAGATACATCTGTACTTCTGCATGACTTCTGAGCTATGCCAGCCACGTTTCTACATGGGCAATTATTTCTGAAACCACTTGTGCAATATATATCATAAGCGCAGTTGTGTGCCATGTGTACATATGATTTTATTGTGTATCCCAGAGGTCTAGTACAATGTAGCATCAAATATGCTAGACTATAGCTAGGGGACCCAGATTCAAATCTACCTCTAACCACTTTCATATATTTAAAAAAAACCCATAGCTTTATATATTTAAAATAAACGCATCTTCATGTTACAGCATTTATTAAAATGAATTAAATCTCTTTTAAAATAGGACTTGTTGCCACATTTATGGTATTTCATTGCCAATTATAAGGATCAAATCTAGACATAATTTCCAAATAATGTTTTAGTTTTTCTTGTCTTGCTTCATAAAGCCTTAGCCCTTCATTCTAAAATGGTGTGTTTGTAATTATATTTTAGTCTTGATATATTGTTAGATTGGATACATAAATGAATATTGTATTTTAAAAATATCCTTATTATATTAGGCTCTAATAGCAAAAAGCTACATATCCAGAGTTTTTCATACAGTATGTGGTATTCCTATCCTTATCAGGAAGAAGAAGACGAGAGGCAGGGCAACATTCCCAACATTTCTAAAAGCAGATCCTAGCACCATAAGCAAAGTAGAAGCATGCTCTACTAATCTTGCTTCTGCATTCATAGATACCAGTCTTAATGTGAAGATCCCACTGCCCAGCCCACACAAATGCTATTGCCATGAAAAAAGCTAGGTTTCATGGAGATACACCTTTGAAATCTAAAGGCTAAATCAGGGGTGTCAAACTCGCAGCGTCATGTCGTCATGTGACATATCACGACTTTCTCCCCCTTTGCTAAAATGGGTGTGTGTGTGGCCAGCGTGTGTTGCATCCGGCCTGCGGGCCAGGAGTTTGACAACCCTGGTCTAAATGGAAGTAAGAAGTAAGCCTCTGAGTATTTTGCTTTCAGCAATCATATCTGACAAGCAATATTCTTGAGCAATCTTGTGGGTCTCAGATTTTAACTAAAAGAGGACTGAGCCTGATTCTACTATAAGTACCATTATTGTTTTAATCTGGGGCCGTCTTGCCTTATTCGTGCACAATTTAAAACCTACCTTGCCTAAGATTGCATTTAGTCGTTCTGATTCACAGTCAACAACCACGACCCGTTCCTTCTTCTTCTCCAAATTTTGGAAGAGTGACTTGTAGTCCTCTTCTGTTGTTGTCATAACGTTGACTGCTGTTACCTGCCAGTTTTTCTCTGCAGCTGTATCCAACACCTTTTGCAGCACTGACAAACCTGAGATAGGATAGGATAAGATCAGATCAAATTCATAGCAATTGCTGTTTTATCATTCTCATTGCTATGACAATCAGTGAAATCATAGCTTTCAGAAATGCTTCATTTCTATATATACCTCATGATCTCAATCAATAAATCCAAGGTAAGAGGCAGCATTTTAATATTGAACATCTACATGGTATGTTTACATGGTCACATAATGTTTATATTAATGGTACATTAGATCAACATTATTGTTCCCATTTTGTATATGTTGGCGGCTGGACAAATCCACTATGACATGGTGATTTATTTAATATAACTTAATGCATTACGTGGCATAAATTAGATTTTTTTAAAAAAATTGATTTATATGCTGCCCTTCTCTGGAGACTCAGGGCGGCTTACAATGCGTTAAGCAATAGCCTTCATACTTTTGTATATTTATACAAAGTCAGCTTATTGCCCCCACAAACTGGGGGCAGTTTGATTTGCAGTATCCTCTGTATTTCCTACATTTAATAAGAACTCAATCTCTTTATCCCAATCCAATTCTTCATTTGTCTCACAACTCAGTCAGACTTACCCCGGTCAGCATCATAAATGTACATAAACTTCTGGCACTTGTAATATTCAATGACATTGATGAGGGCATCCTGAAGTTCAGGGCGCAGCTGGATAACAAATTGATTGGATGTGTCAACAGGGAAGCTGGGTGTTACAAAGCAGACATGTAGTGCCCCACAGAAGGACGTGAGCATGTTGACTGTCCTCCTCTCATAGAAGCCAAAGATAGCATAGACCCCCTTGGAGAACTGGGAGCAGACTGTGGAGAGAGAAAGAAGAAAAAACCCCAAAGTCAGAAATTCTCTGAATTAGGTACCCATGCACACACACACACACACACACACACACACACACGTATGTGTGTATGTATGTATGTATGTATACATATGTATACATATGTATATGTATATTATGAGTTTATTCCTTTGCAAATAGTCATACAATTCAAAGCATTGAAACTGAAGAAAGCCTCAAAGATGGAATGTTCCATTCGTTTTCTCTGAGTTTTCTCTGACACACTGTCGTCATTACAAGATATCGTCTTGATTGGCACTTTTTCAAATATCTTCCAAGAGAATTGAGGCTTTAAAAATGATAGGATTAAGCCCACACACTCAAGCAAAGGAAGAAAGGATACTGGAGGAGTTTTGTGATATATCATCATATGTTATATCCTTGCTGTATGGTTATTTCCATGCAGGTCTAGGAAAAATGCATTAAATATTTCTTCAAAATAATAAAGCCACTGCAATGAACTGTATGGTTTTCAGCAAACATTTTTTAATTTCATGAAAAATTAATATTTCAATCTACAGTATAACATCTAAATTAGAATTAAAAAGGAACATATCCAAATTAAAGGCAGGTAATGTTTCAAAACCATGTTGGGATTTCAAAAATTCTTCTTGATGTGACAATTAAAATAAATCTGCTTTTAAGTGGCCTACCTTTTGCCATTCAAATATCTAGTATGTCTATGGAGATTCTCAATCATTCAGGTCATGGTGCCTTTTAAAAGGCAACTGGGTTTTCTTGAAATTTTCAAGGGACATTTTTTCCCCTTGAAAACATTTCGCTTCTTATGCAAGAAGCTCCTTCAGTTCTGAGCTTCTTCAGTTCTCGCCAAACTGAAGAAGTTTCTTGGATGAGAAAGGAAATGTTTTCAGGGAGGAAAAAACCCCCAAGAAAGACCAGCTGCCTTTTGAAAAGCACCTTTGGGAGAGGTATTTAGAATATTTAGCATGTTTGAGGTAACTTTTTCTTAAGAAGATAAGGATAGCTCTGCTGGATGAAACAAAAGATTTAAGGCTGTTTCTGGATCCAGTAGTATTCCCCACTGCCTCACACATACTTTGATTTCCTCACAAAAGCTTGCAAGAAGCATCCTCACGTACTAGTAGGTCTATCCTCCATGAAACCTGGCCCACCTCTTCAGAAGAAGAAGAAAAAAAACCAGTGAACAAATGATGCGGTAGAAATCCCCGAGATTTTATTCAGCTATGGAATTTTTAAGCTTGTATGAAAAAGGAAGATTTGGAAAGCACTAATTAATGCTTTTGGGGACATTTTCAGCCTCATCATTTTTCTCTCTTGAGACTCTTTTCTAGCAAACATGAGAGTTAACACCAAGGGATGAAACAGTAACCCTCAGTTCCATAATATGGTTAAGATGTAATTTGGATTTGTTTCCTTAAAGTACATGGATATGGGAAATCTAGTAGCATGCAAATTATTGCTCTCAAGTTCAGGAGTGAGTTCTGAAGAGACAAGCAATTTAGATTACCTAACAGTAGGGACAAAGAGGGAAAATTATGGCTTATCTTTGGAACCAAATCTTGTAAGAGCATTATATCACATGAGATATCTAAAGCATATTTAGAAAATGTCATACGCTTGTTAAAGACTTTATCTCGGAAATTTCAAGACAAATTATATAGGCCAGGTTGAGCTATAAATGCAGATGTGCAGCTGAATTGAATACGCATATTAGGAAAGATGCATAAAATGTATAAGTGAAAATAATTTGAATCACTAAAACAGCTTTTATTTGTTTAAATTATAATTCAGATACGTCATCATCACACCTCTAAATATAGCTATGTAGAATTCCTAATTTTTGATATGGCTGATTGGTCTTTATCATATTGTGTGAAATTCTAGTACCTAGTATTATTTTTTTAAATCTTTTAGATGTTGTCTTTTTAAGTTTTTTTGGCAGAAATCAAAATTAATTTATTGTTTTTGATAACTAATTATGAGGTTGAGTCTCTGTCATATTTCTTTATTTCTGATTATTTTACTTTATTTCAATGCTTTGACAGTTTTTGCTGCTGTTTTAATTGGTTTAAGCTGTCTGGGGCACTGCATATAAAATATAAAATGGAACATTTCTTATAAATAAAAAATAAACCCTGAAGGAGGGTTTAACACAGAAGCTTAAAAATTTGTGAAAGATTTGATGACAAATGATCACTTGTGGCAAGTTGGTCATGCTATTCCAGCAGTGAAGAAGATTGGGGTAGCTAGATCATCATAATGACTCTAGATTTAACAAAAATATTAAGCAATGATATTTTTGCATAAACAAAATTAAATGCTAAAAATGTCCATTAATTCTAGTTCTCTTTTCACTAATTTCAATAATTCTGTTGCTAATAGGCACAAGGGTTTGATCTTTGTCAAACAGCTCCTCAGGAGAAGTTTTGCCTGGGATCATGGGAGTACTTGAAAGCTATGTACAAATTTCAGAGGAAAATACATGATAGGGACAGCAGCATATTTTGAAATACTGTGTAAAACCTCAGGCATGCATATTGTCAAACATGTTTAACTTCATTCATGTTTATTGGTACATTCTGATAAATCAAATTCTAAGGTGATGGTTCTTAAGAGTGACTGTGCTTTCATCTTAAGGCCAGCCTTTGGTTTTAATAACATAGATGAATATGACTTTATAACTGCAGAACGCTCAAAGGAATCTTTAAAAAAAAACTTGAGTTTTTCGCTGTTTTTATTCTCCTCTGAAATAATTCTAGTTTTTGCTGTCTAGCCCATGATATTTTCTTGTCTTTTAGTAAAAGGGTAAGATAACAACTGCAAGTATTGTGAAAGATCTCCTCTGAGTACCTCTAAGTACAAGAGCAAAGAATAATTTTGAATTATGCAAATGTGGACAGTATTGGCTCTGTAGATTTTGCAGAGTTAATATTCCCAGCATTTTTCATTCACTGAACTGGGTGGGACTGCTGGGAAGTGTAGATTATCAACATCTGTAGGGACATAGATGTTTATGAGCAAACAAAATGAGATGATGTAAAAGAACATCCCGTACTTTTTATTACTAACTCCTCAATTTACTACATCAGTCTGATTTTATGTCTTCTGATTAACATTCTACTTGGAAGGGCGGCTCTGTCACTACAAACACAACAATGCCAAGAAATGCCATCTGGAGAAATATAAAAGTATTGTCTAGTAAAAAACAAAGATCAAGTAAAAATTAACTGACTACATTCTTGTGCTATGGTGGGAAACTGCTCCAAATACTCTTTTCCAACACTTTCAATCTGAAATCTCTTTTAAAATAAATAAACCTTAATTTGAATTAAAATACAATATAGCACTCTTGAAATGAATAACATAACATATTGTAGGTTCCCAACCAGGAGTGGTATTCACTTACTGTCGCTACCGGTTCGCAAATGGGAGCGTGCGCATGCGCAGAGCCTTCCGCTCATGTACAGAGCATCAAAAATGGGACATGATGACGTCTGGGTGGATGGGCGGAGCCTCTCGCAACCGCCGCTACTGGTTCCCCCGAACTGGATAGAACCGGCTGAATACCAACACTTGATCTCCCCAAATAAGACAAAATGTTCATGATAATTGTGCAATTTTACTAGTTTTGTAAATTTGTGCATAATTTCAGTGGAAGTCTTTGGCAGTCTTATAAGACTATAGCAATTTGGGTCAGGTCACCCAGACAATTAATAAGGTTTTTCAATGATGCTCAGAGAATGAAAATCTTGCTTATCTGTGCCTCAGTTAGTAATACGGTAAGTGCTAGATGAAGCACTACAATAAATGTTCTGGACTTCTATGAGTTTTGGCTATGAGGCTTAATCAAAATAAAATATAATAAAAAACTATCAAAAACTTTTCATTTTAACACAGAATAATAAATAGATCTCTAAATAAATAATACATATTTTCTCAGACACAGCATATGCCAGAATATTGGAGTTATAAGAAATCTGAAGCAAGCACTTCTCACATTGCTACTAGCCAAAACCTGGGACACTTTAGGTTCCTCACATCATACATATACAATAAATATGCACACTGAGAGCTACTTTCTCTATTCTGACAACTAAATCTTCCAAGCCTCGCCCTTAGTCAAGGACATCTGGAGAGAAAAAAGAACATGTCTAAAGTCTCAACATACAGAAATTATTAGATTTCTGGGGGGCGGGGGGACATAGCTTTGAATCCAAAATGAAACTGAACATGACAGTACTAAGCAAAAAATGCACAGTAGGACTGAGAATTACAACTTGAACTTTACAATCTGTTATTTCAGTATGGTAATCAGAATAAATGCCTTCCAACAATAATTGGTAAGCATTGTGATCTTTCTGAAAGTGTCTTCATTTGCCAAGTTTTAGCTCACTTTTTTGCTATTGTTGAGAGCAATAGTAAGGGAGTCATAATGTAAATGTAAGAAAATGATTTTAAATTATGAGAAAAGCAAATTGCCTCTCTCTGCTGCCATTAAAGAAGGCCTAAGCATTATCTGCCGGAGAAATGAAAACTTTATATGACCAGAATTTTTGCCAACATCGTAATAAGAAAAACAAAATACTATATGGTGAAATCTAATTTCAGCGCCAACGTTTCTGCTGTAGGGTTTTTTTTTGGGGGGGGGGTGGTATCATTGTCTCAAATGATATTTTTGGAAAAACAAAGAAAACAATCCATCTTCTTTGGTAACCTCATTACTGTCTTGTGATCTGTCTACCTCATAAAGCAGATTATGGCCTTGCAACAGATTAATTACAGATGCCTCTGATTACAGATGCCACATTCTCCTCCTCTCAATCTTTCTGTCGTCTTCAGTACTTTGTATCAATCATGAGCAAGCATCAGTTCTCCTCCTACGCTGTACTCAGATAATTGTTAATCCCAGCCTTTAAAACAGATTCTAGCAGCCAAGAACTCACAGTTCTAATCTGTTTTAGATGGTTGAGGCAAGTCAGAATA